GATCAAAAAAATTATTGATTTTCTCGAAATTCGATATGAAGAGGCTCTGATACCAATTGATAGAATTACATTTAATTGTATGCGAGTGAATCGCTTAATCCCAAGAGCGTTCATATTGAACAATCGAGAATCAAACCGCATAGCGGAAGCGTACCTGATGAATTCATGTTGATTGATTGGATTCGAACTTGAATTTGATTGGGGATTTGGGATTTTGGAGATCTTCCAAAAAGCCATGAAATTTCTTCACCTATGATGTAAGAGAATCTGAATGAAGAACGTGTTGGGGTTGGAACGGTTTCTTCTTATTTATATTAATGAAGAATTCCAAAAGACCCCATTTATTTATCACGACTTTAAAAGACTCCATCTATAAATAATTTTGACTCAAATTAATTGTTATTTAGATCCTTAAAATTAATATTATTATAGTTACGTCACCAAATAATAATATTATTAGGTGTCCACATTTAATTATTCCACAATCAAAATTAATTTCTTTAGCCAGTATACAGTAATTTGATCACTTTAATTTAACTAACAATATAATAACTCAATGTATCAATTACACATATTTCATCAAAAAATAGATCTAACATAAAAATCTTGGCTAAACATTTTGTGCCCCCAATCAGTGATTTGCGACTGACCCGCCCCATCTTTTGACCCGACTTTCGGCTTCACTAGCCTGCAAATACACAAATGTGGAGAGGCAATTTTACAAAACTAACATAATAAATGAACCAAATTAGTAAAAAAAAAAAAATTTGAAAGAAAAGTGACCTCTTTGTCCCAATTTCTGGTTGAAGTGATGAAAATCAAAATAAGGGTCTGCAAGCAAACTCCTCCAATCATTCCACCCCAAATTCCCTGCATACAAAAAACAAATGAAATAAATAAAAAAAAATCAAATAGATAATGAACAATCCATTTAAAAAAAACACTATTTGAGGAATGTCGTACTACAAAATTATCGTATGAGACGGTCTAACAGTTATGTCAGTTGTCTAGTCATATATTTTAACAAAATATGACTTTGCTATGAAATGTAGTATTTTTATTTATGTTGTTCTTAAAGTATGATATTTCAATTTCAAACGAGATAAAAAAAAATATATATATATATATAATTATCATTAGTCAGTAAAAATATGGTTAGACAGACAGACATATCTTTGAAAAGATACACATATTTTAAAATTGAACCGTCATACTAAAAAAACACAATAAAAACTAAAGTATAACAATTTATAACATAAATATGCAACTTTATTACAAAAATATGACAAATCGACTCGTTTAATGGTTATAAATATGCAAATTTATTACAAAATATGACAGATCGACTCGTTTAATGGTTAAATTGTATTTAGTCATAGACTCATAGATGATAACAGTAGAAATGGACTGCCACTTTTCTAACACAAACAAACAAACCAAATAAATTATGTGGAATCAAACAAAGGAGGAAATTCCATTGGGACAAAAAAGATTTAAAAGTATCAATAATAAATGTGCCATTTTGAACTTTCAAACTTAGGCCAAGAAAGCAAAAACAATGTTGCTCTCATAATGTCAACATCTACCTACTTATCTTATGAAACTTGAAAGTTGAAACAAAGATAATCACAAATTATTGTACCACCGATCGGCCTAAGCGCTAGACTGATCGACTCATCGTACATTTTTAAACAAAACACATATTCGTTATCTATAAAATATCACATTATATATTATGTGTTTTTTTTTTAGAATACGCCATTTCAATATGAAATTATGTATATTTTATTAAAAAAATATGACTGTCTAATCGTTAGATCTGGGTAAACGCATCATTAGAGTGTGTTAAAAGAAAAACTAACCATTGCACCAAAGTCAAATATAAAACCCAAGAGCAACCCAAGTGGTAGCCCCACAATGTAATAGCACCCAATATTGATATATGCCACAATAGACTGCCATCCAGCTCCCACAGCAACCCCTACAAACATAAACAAAAAAAACAAAAAACTACAATTTGATAAACAATCTATATATATCGAAAAGAAAAAAACACTCGAATGCTCACCGGACAAGACGGGCTGAAGCCCGTTAATGAGAACCGTAAGTGCCAACAAGATCGAAAGCCGAGTGGTCTCTCTAGCTACGGCCTCACTGCTTGTAAAAAGGTAAGGGAAAACATCTTTCGTTGCCAAAACAATCGCCATACAAACTACCCCAATCAAAACGGTCGTTATGGAAACCACTAGAACCGAGAATTTCGCAGCCTTTGCATTCCCGGCTCCAAGTTCGTTCGAGACCCTCACACTGTAACCACGTCAATTAACACACATTTAGTTACGAGTCGAATATGTCGTGGTATTGTTCGTAGAAAAGGTTCGAAAATCACCTTATCGCAGCATTAAATCCAATCGATATCATTGCATCCCATCCATTTATATTCATGCTGCCAAACAAAAAAGAAAAAAGATGTTCCAAATAAACCAATGAGTCGAGTGTTCTTGAATTGAAGTATAGTAAAAGAATGTAAAAGTTTGTTACGGCTGCAAATTTACCAGATAGAAATAGCATCGACCGGTACAACTGGATTATCCAAGTGGCCTGCTATTACTACTATTACCATAAGGTACCAAAACTCCAAGCTGCAATATCGAAAACCCAAACAAGCTGTTAGCCGAAAAAATTTAAAAAAAAAATCAAAGAAAGGCCACCAAATTTTATTACCATAGCATTATGGCAGAGGCTAAGGATAGTTTGATAAACCCGTACAAGTCGTGGAAAGCGAGCCAAGAAAAGCCGCTCCACGCCCCATCAGACTTCGTGTAGAAAATATAAATCAACTGAAGAATCACGATGAGCCACCACGAGGTGTTGAGAGTGAGGGCTGCCCCGAGCAGACCCCATTCGAGCCTTAAGATTAGAAGCCAGCTGAAAAACGTGTGAAGGACAAGCACGAAAAACGAGATCCAGGCCATGGCCATGAGTTTCCTCTGCGATTGAAGGAACTTCTGTATTGGGAAATTCACAGCGTACGCAAACATTTGCGGTATCATCCAAAGTGCAAACTTACCTGAAAAAAAAAATATGTATATATACTGGTCAAAATCCTATCTTTGTTACATTTACATTTTGATATAAGTGCAATTGCCGAAGAGGTTTTTACCGGCAGCTTGAGAAATCTCGGCAGACTCCCCGAAGAACTCAAGGATCGGAGGGGCGAATATGTAAATCGGAAGCAGAATGCAAGATGTGGCAAGCAAAATGACCCATGATCTTTGCATGTATATACCCAGCATTCGAATCTGACCTGCACCGAACGCTTGCCCGCAGAGAGTTTCCAGTGCACTCCCCATTCCAAGCTGCAGATTCACATATGAACATTTTCAAGCTCAAATGAATAATTTATTAGAAAAATCTTCAAAGTCTCAACTTTCATAACTAAACCATCAGTTAAAATTTGGCACTCCAGCTCAACAAGCTGTATTTCTAAGCTCTGTATAACCACGTTTTGCTATCAGCTACGGTTCATACAGAGTGAGCCATGTCTAAAGAACACTACAAATTACTGCAAATTCTTCTCAACAAGGCTATCTTTCGTCCTTATTTCAATCAATTTTGATGATAATACAAAGAGCTGGACACAGAAATTGCCGTATTTACCATGGCTCCGAAAACAAGGCCGGCGATGACGGAATTCTCGACGGAGACGGCGGCCAGCTCGAGCTCGCCCACCTGGCCGGTGAACGTCTGCGTGAGCGCGCCCAACGAGTACTGGCAGATGTAGGTGAATATCGCCGGCCCGGAAAGCGCCCACAGCGCCTTCGACTCCGACCCGAACTCCTTCACGAAACCCGCCCCTCCCAGCCGGCGCTTCTCCAGCAGGGCTTCGGCCGAACCACCGTCCATGGTCACCGGAAATTCAAGAAAGCAAGAAAAAAAAAAAAAACAGAACTTTGGGGGCTGTAGGCGTTAGATGAACAGGGGGCTTCTGGAGAACAAATAAATAGCACTGTGAAAATCGTAGATTGAAGGATTGAACGAGAAGAGTAGATAATAAAGAGGGTTATTCACGTGGGAGACGTAAATGGCCAAAGAAAAGTAAAAAAAAAAAAGGAGTCGCGAGTAACTAGACTGATCACTGACGGCTCCTTATCTGTGTTTCTTGTTTTATCCTGTGTACTGTGCAGAGGTAGGTGGGAGGGGCCGTTTTGAAAATACCAAGAAAATATAAACAAATGCGAACGAATAGTTCTTCCTCTATGACTTCGCTTCTAAAGTTGGGTCTGAAAGAAGGAGTTGAATCAGTTCTTCATAAGTTTGTTCGCAAGGAGGGAGATCAGCTTTTCAACTGCTAGAACACGGCTTAGCCAATAGCAAACTAGTTTTGTCGTGATCAATCCAAGCGCCTAGCCCGGTCGGTGGGGAGGTCAAACGATGAACACCAATCGGATATGAGTCTGATAGGCTCGCCAAGTGATCGGCCGCATAATTAGTTTCCCTATATATGTGTTGGATATTAACACTCCAATCTCTTTGAATCAACTCTCGGATAACTCAAATTAGTGCAGCATGGGGCCCCAGATCATCCTCCAAATCGCACACCATATTCTTCACGCATAGACTATCAACCTCAACCATAACTTGCTGGTATCCCATCTCCCAAGCCAACAAAAACCCCTGAAACATACCCCACAGTTCAGCGCCCGTAATAGTGCAGAAGCCAATTTTGAAAAGAAAGCCCGCAATCCATCTTCCATTCTCATCACGGATTAATCCCCCGCACAGCTCAGGCATGTGGCAGTGGAGGCGGCTTCGTCCGAATTGACTTTAATCCAACTGCCGGTGGAGGAGTCTACCGAATCATCCTAGTAACATGAATAGCCGCTCCCACCCGTACATAATACGCTCTCGCTCGGGAGTAGCTCTCCGTGATCCGCATAACTTCCAGACGGCGAACTTCGGCGGCGGAAAGGCTGACCAGGAAGTTCTGCGGCAGCGGGAAGCAAGGTTTTCAAAATCGAGATTCTACGTAGAATCATTTTGGGTGCAGAATCGGAATCGTAAAATCGTAAGTCTCTACTCAAAATGTCTAAAATTAATTATCTTCACAGGTTTTATGGTAATCATCAAGAATATGTATCAAAATGCTAAAAAAACCACCACTTGTTTTTCAAAATAATAAATGTTTAAATTTTAACACTCTGCGCGTTCAAACTTCAAAGTTAACACTTACAAAAACATAGACAAATTATAAAATCCAATGTTCAATATCACCAAAGTCCAAAAGGCAAACATACTAGTGAATAGTGAAATAACATAATTTCACACTTCAAAGTTCAAACTACTAGTGAAACAAAAAAACACAAGTTCAAATCATAATTTATAACCAAACTAATCACCATCACCATCACGATCACTGCTCGGACGAAGAAGACGCAGGCGTCGAAACGCAGGCGTCGAGGCCGAGCCATTTTAACGACGGAGACTCGGTTCGGACTGTGGGAGGCTACAACCGTGTGAACTGTGGAGGATTGGAGGCCGAAGAAGAAGTAAGAGAGAGATGGATTTGAGTTTAACGTCGGAGACTTGAAGTACGACGGTCGGCCGGTGAGGGATGGAGGTGAAAAAGTTGCGCGACGGAAGACGGGAAGAGCATATTAGGGATTAGGATTTTAGGATTTTTTGGGTTTTTATTAATTTTTTTAAAATAATTTCGTTTGTATTGGTCCAAGGGAAGGGTATCTTTATGCTTCTTTGGGCCAATTTGTGTAATTTTTTTTAAAAAAAAAAAAACA